GGCTGCCACGACACGCAGAGCTGCCCCACAGCCCCGGCCCAGCGGGCTGTGATGTTTGCCGGAGGGGCAATGAGACCTGTGGAGAATGTGCCCAGGCATTTGGCCTCCTGTGGCAACCCCTGTCTGGGCACCACCTGGTCCTGCCAGGGGATGCCTGGTGGTCTCCCCAGGGCTGCCTCTGTGCCCAGTGAGCAGGGTGCAGGGTGCTGCCAGCCCTCGTGGTGGCCAGAAGGGCAGGGGAGCCAGGTCTGGGGACTGTCCTGGGGTTGTAGGGGTATTTTCTGGTGGGAGGGAGTCACCCACCGCGTCCACACTGAGCTCCCGCCAGTACTTGGTCTGGTTGGTGGTGGCATCCAGGACGCGGAGGTGGAGCTGGGTGAAGAGCCGCACATCCTGGCTGGGGAAGACGCAGACGTGCCGTGTCCCACTGGCCCCGTGGTGCCATGTGGAAACTGTGCATGCCGTGGGCACATCCCTGAGAAATGGAGAGCGGGATCCTGCAGCACCCCATGCCTCCTGCCCAGGGCCAGGCTGGAGGAGAGGGGACCTGGAGCATGGCACTGTGACCTCGATGTCACCAGCTCCTTCTCTGTGCCCCCATCGACTGCAGGGCACCATCCCCATGGGACTGAGGGACAGTCACAGTCCCAGTCCTGCCACAGGGTGTGTGGTGGCTTCTGTGTAGCTCCCAAGGGCTCTCCACCATCTCTCCTTGCTGCGGGGAGCCACTGGCGTGGCATGGAGAGCTGGGGCACCCTGACCTTGCTGCTCTCTGTGCAGGCATAGGGGAGGCTGGGCTGTGTCCCCACCACCTCCTACCTGCTGTACCAGTAGTAGAAGTGGCGTGTCCCACTCATCGCCTCCTCCTCATCCCAGAAGCAGGTGAGGTCCTCAAAGGAGCGGGAGAAACAGAGAATGTTCTCGGGCACTCCCACCAGCAACGCAGCATCTGGGAGGAGCGTGGACATGAAGGAGCCCCTGGACGCAAACCTGTCCCTTTCCCACCTGTGTCACCTCGCTGCATGCCCTCTGGACAGCTCGCCCCTGAGGCCAGTCTGCAGCACCCGGGGCAGCGTGGACACAGACGTGGTGC